CTTTCTTGCCTTCCCTGCCTTTTCTATATAAAAAGTACCCTGGTATTGCTATGTCCCAGTCATTTTTCTCATTATACCATGTCTCAGTAACAGCGACTAAATCTACACTATCAGTTGCCATTATTGCCACAAGTTCATGGATCTTATTCCCTAAACTGCGAGCATTTGTAGACATGACTCTATGCTTATCATTTTTTAACACACTTGCTACTGACACCTTCTGTACTTGTTTTGGGTGGCAATTGGATTGATGTTTTATCACCCTTTTGCCTCTCCCTCCTAGTTTAAATACATCCTAGCAAAACCTCTAAACTGCTCACTGAGAACATTTGATCCCTTTTGAGAAAGATGCAAACCATCTTTTTTGTACAGTTTATTTCCATTCCAAACAGAGATACCATGAGAAATAAAGCCAAATCCTTGCTCCTGACACCATTCACCAAGCCACAAGTTAAAGCCTGACGTTCTGAGTGTTATGCACCAGCAGGAATTCAGAGAATGACAGTGTGGAAACAACCTGCCGTATATCATTGGCAAAACCACAAAAAACTTCCTTTACCTCTGAAACCTCATTGCAAGCAAAGTCATTTGTCCTTAGATGGACAAGTGCATCCATTTCCCCTTCCTGCATTGCTCGCTTAACAATATTAAAAATAAGTCTCCTGCCTTTGTGAGCAGTAGCTCCAGAAAGACATCTCACAAGACCACTATTGTCCAGCTCAACACCTCTTATGATAGAATCCCCCAACAATGACTGCTTTCTATTAGGCCTCACCATAATCTCCAAGCCTGTCTCCATAATACCACTACACTCGGTGCCTGAGAATGTCTCCACAAAACTACTACACTTGGTGCCTGAGTCTGTCTCCACAACACCACTACACTCGGTGCTTGAGCTTGTCTCCATAACATTACTACACTCAGTGCCTGAACCGGTCTCCATAACACCACTACACTTGGTGACTGAGCCTGTCTTCATAACACCGATACAGTCGAAAAGTGCTAAAAATTAATTATGTAGAGCAACAGACTGTGCAATATGTCTTTTATCTACAACTCTAAGTCTACCAGATCCTACAGTAATCCATCTGCCATTCCTAGGACGTCACTGCGGCAGTGGCTTTGGAACAGTTACAGCCTGAGTTTGTTTACCAGATAATTTTACAAATCTCAGACTTAATACAATCCCCTCCTGCAATATAAAGATATGTCTACATATTAGACAGCATCCAAATCTCCAAAAAGTGGAACGTGAAACAAATGCATTACAACTATTACACTGAACTAAGTCTGCCATTCCAATGAGGTGAGTAATTTAAATCAAACAAATCTTAACTTTTTTTTGTCCTTCTGTATACGTCAGATTACCTCCAGTTTATCTCTAGAATATTTCCAAGCACACAATTTGAAGCAGCACTTAGAAGTAGCAACCAAGCTACTTATGTTGACTCCCAAATGGTAATCTCCATTAGAGAGAATATGGTTGCACAGTATTATACTTTAAAGTGTTACTCCAACCACTATGACCACTTCAGTGATTTGAAGTGGTCATGGTGGTAGGAGTATGTGTATGTGCAGTGTTTCAGCTTGCAGGTAGAGCAGGGGAAGCTCTCAGCGATGGCTGTATAACAGCTCTTGTAGCTCTCATGTCATCAATCTGACTGGTTTACAGAAGCCATAGGAGGGTGAGTTCATTGAGTGCTGGACTTTGAATGTTTTTTTGCAAAGTCTAAACCTGAAAATAAACCTTCAACCTGAATCCTATGTTTAATGGACCATTATAGTGCCAGGAAAACATACTCGTTTTCCTGGCACTATAGTGCCCTGATGGTGCCCCCACCCTCAGGGTCCCTCTCCCGCTGGGCTCTAGGGGCTGGAAGGGGTTAAACTTACCTCTTTCTCCAGCGCCAGGCTGGGGACTCTCCTCCTCTCCGCCTCCTTGGCTGAATGCGCATTCACAATGCTTTCCTATGGACGCTGGCGTCTTCTTACTGTGAAAATCACAGTGAGAAGCGCGGAAGCGCCTCTAGCGGCTGTCAATGAGACAGTCACTAGAGGCTGGATTAACCCTATTATAAACATAGCAGTTTCTCTGAAACTGCTATGTTTATAGAAAAAAGGGTTAATCCTAGCTGGACCTGGCACTCAGACCACTCCATTAAGCTAAAGTGGTCTGGCTGCCTATAGTGGTCCTTTAACTCTATGTTTAACCCTCATGTATCTCAATACTAAATTTAACCCAACTCTAGCCCTAAACGTAACAATCCTAAAATGTTACTACTAAGCACCCTATTAAATCTAACCTTAACCCACCTTTACCCTAACCCCTTTTTTTTTCTTTTTTTTTTTAAATTTGACAATTTTTATTGTTCAGTTGAACATCAATACAAACACCAAGCAGGCGGAACCCATGTCGGTCTTTGAACTGATGTGCACCCACAAAAACCACTCAAGAAACTATTATCGCTAGGATATCAACTGCTCCTACAGACAGCAAACATGACGAAAGACACGCACACACAATCTTTGCACATTGAACTAGGCAGAACCATACCTGAAGACAGGTGGAAAAGGGCATATTCATCCCATAGAGGGGCAACATATTGCGCTACCCACTTGGAGCTACAACGCAAGCTGTTGTACCGCTGGTACCTGGTGCCAGTCAGGATACACCATATCTGGCCCCAATCCACAGATAAATGCTGGAGATGTGGGAACCAGAAAGGCACAATGACCCACATATGGTGGACATGCAAGACCCTAACCCCTTCTAACGTTACTTTAACAATGCATGCAATGACATGGCTTCATACACTTACTATACTCACAGACTGAAACACAATACACTGGAAGCAGAGATATACACATATATACATTTACACATTGCAGTTGTCAAATATGAACATGCATTTAGATGTTAATAAATTCATTCAATAAAGTTCTATCTTAGCACAGTGGACTTTTTATATTGTATTTATTTTTTATCTAGCTGCCTCTTTAGTGTGTCCAATAAAGTGTTTCTTGCATACTTCCTGCATCCTGTAGTATTTAAGCAAGTATTTAAGCAATAGGAACCAAGGACCACAGAGGTGATCCAGCATGGAGTTTGTGTACCACGTGCTTCTATCAGATATGCTTCTAGTCTGAGCCAGCTTTTCATAAGTGGCTCATGACCATGTGAGTTGAACTGATTATCAGTTTAAGTTATATTCAGTTGCTACGTTATTACCCTATGTTGCTGTTTCTTCTATTTTCATATTTATAGAAGTTGTTTTATATTTCTACGGGCAATAAGAAAGAAATTTTTTATATTCACACATGAAAAAGGGTAACGTGCAATTATTATATCTATTTGAGTGCTCTCACCACCCACGATTGAATTACACAATAAATTCATTATACTTGCTTTATCTGCCTATTGGGATTGGGTAGCAGGGGGCACCTTAGAATTATGTATCTACAGGCAACTGCCATGTAAATCCGGTCCTGAGTGATGCCATTACCGTTTGACCTTTCCAGTCCATTCTACAATTTATGACAGTCTAGCTATTTACATGTTTTTGTTCCTTGTGTCATAGCACAGTATGCTTATCAGGCTTTTCCAGGGACCTGCATATGCTGACAAAACTGGCCAAAATCTTGGTCAGATCAGCCAAAATGAAAAAACACCTGGCATAAGCCCTCTAACTAGTTAAATTATTATCTAAATTGGTAATGTGTTTCAGAAAACATTATATCATTTTCACTTTTCTAATAATTGATTTTTAATTTTTTTATTTTGATAATATTTTCCTAATATTAATTTTTTGGGCAAAGAGAACCGTCTTCTTATCACATACATTTCCAAAAGAAGCCTGATTAATCATGCCAGAAAAGGGGGAGGATGTAATTTGTTTAATTATAGGCTGCACCAAATACCATTATAGGAATGACCCAATAACACAATGACATGCAAAGTATTTATTTCCCCAGCGTATAAGCTTGGAGAGCTCTCCATTAAGTCATTATCAATTAAATAAATTAATGTGTGTTGCCATGCAATTCATGAAGATAAGAATGAGTAACATGTTCTGTTTTGGGAATACATTGTGAGAGCTGTAAGGTTTAGTATACCAAAAGGTTAAACATAATAGTATTATTCAAGTATCGTTGTAAACACAGAATGGATAATAACTAAATACATACGTATTCAAGCTACAATACCCAATGATGTGTTTACTGTATTGGAAAATGCAAAAGCTTTAATGAAGCAGACAATGTATGTTATGGATAATAACTTTGTAAAATAATTTTATTGTAACACGCTTAATCAAGTAAATTTACCATGTGAAGGGCAGGGGCATATATCATCCGCTGAAAAAAGATTAGCAATCAATAATATAGATCATTAGAGAAAGCAGTTTGAAAGCAGAAGATAAATTAGATGAAACATAGGCAACAATATGAGCGGAAACCTCACAGCCAGAGCCAAGAAAAGGCATTTGTAAGAGGAACGGTTATTCTAAAGTTTACTAAAAAATATTTAAAGAGCTAAAATCAACACAAATATTACTGTTGATGATATATTCATATTCAGACATAAGAAATTCCTTCTTATGTCTGAATATTAATATATCATCAACAGTAATATTTGTGTTGGTTTTAGGTCTTTAAATATTTTTTACACTATCCAAATCTCAAAATTCAATTTTCAACAATGAGTTATGTGATGAAACTTATTTCACATTGTTTGTGCCATTGTTCCAGTATTGGGGAAGGGGAACTGTAACGTTACACCAAGCATGTCAAATTCAAAGGCTAAGACGGGCCAAACAAACAAGGTTTACGTTTATGTGGGCCGCAAAAAAACAAAACCGTCAGTTTTTATAGAAAGGTAGGTTTATTTTGAAAAGTACAGTATAAAAAAAGTTGCCTCACTGACACTGGACGTCCTCACGCTTGTAGGGCTTCAAAGTAAACAAAAGAGTGAATTAACTCCTGGCCAGGATGCTATGGCCCAGACAAGACTGGTCTCACATCACAGCCATCAAACATCCGGATGGCACAACAAAATCAAAACCAACAGAAATTGCGACGGTCTTTGAAGAATTCTACGAACAACTATACAACCACACACCAGACGGGAACTCCCAACATGGACAAGAGGAGAAGCATATTTTAAATTATTTAGACGGCTTAAGTATGACCAAATTGAATGGAGAGGTAGCGAGTAGCCTAGCGGCAGAAATCAGCGAAGACGAGGTTGACAGAGCCATATCGAGTTTGAAGGGTAACAAAACACCAGGGCCAGATGGATTCAATGGGACGTACTACAAGACCTTCAGAGAGGAGCTCACACGCCAACTGGTGACACTCTTTAACCACCTGAGGCAAGGAGGACACCTAGACCCTTAGATGGCCCTTGCCACTATTGTATTACTGCCCAAACCAGAAAAGGATCCGCTCCAACCAGAAAACTACAGGCCCATATAGTTAATTAATCACGACTTAATGATTTTAGTGAGAATACAAGCAGATAGATTGAATCCACTACTGAACTCGCTCATTCACGCGGATCAAGTCGGGTTCATACAAGATAGGCAATTGTTCGAGAACACCAGGAGGAACATCGATCTCATCTGGAAACAAGTGGCCACCGGAACACCTTCTCTAGTGATCTCCATCGACGCAGAAAGGCCTTTGATAGGGTCAGGTGGCAGTTCCTGTTCTCGGTGTTGAGATACCTTGGTTTCCCGGAAGAATACATATGAATTACAAGAGCAATGTATCACAACGTACGGGCTCAGGTTCAGATAACGGGGGCCCCACTGAAGCCATTTAGGAGCCCTTGCTACAGGCGATACGTTGGCACCCGAATATCAGAGGAGTTAGGGTAGGCGATGAAGAGTTCACAGTCTCGGCCTATGCAGACGACGCGTCCTCCTGACCATTATGAACCCGATCGAATCGATGTCAGCACTACAGGATGTAATAAAAGAATTCGGGGAACTGTCAGGATACAAAGCAAATATCCAGAAGTCCAGCGCTATGCCAATCGGCTTAACGGCTTATGCAGCTCTGATAAGGGGAACCTATCAAATTCGAACAGCAGACCCGGGACACTTATACTCTGACAATTACGACCCCATGCTAAGAGCCCTGATAGGAGATTTAGAAAAGTGGACGGACAAACCTTTCTCTTGGATAGGACGAATCAACTCTGTAAAAATGAACATCCTCCCCCGCATTCTATTTTTATTTCAGGTATTACCTATCCGCGTTACAAAAACACAATGGGTACCGCTACAAAGAGCGAAAGGGGATTTTATCTGGCAGAATAAGAGACACAGAATAGCCAGACAAGTCCTGTATATACATAAGGACAGAGGGGGTTTAGGACTACCGAACCTATACTACTACTACCTTGTGGCCCAACTGACTCAGGTGGCCATGTGGCACTCCCCACCGGGGGAACGGAGGTGGGTGGAAATCGAATCCATGATGGTGGGCCTGGACATCCCCCAGTTCACGATGTGGTTCCAACCCGGAATGACCCCTAGAGACTTTAGAAACATAGAAAGAACCGGGCTACAATGGATCCATCAACTATATTGTAACAAAGAAGTCATACAATTCGAGGAACTCCAACAAAGTAATCACTTAACCACTGCAGATTTTTTCAGATATGTCCAGATACTAGACTTCGCTAGAAGACCCCATATTAGAACAGCAGCCCAAGGAAAGCTATCTTTTTATGAAAGATTATGTCTGGACGGAGCTACCCCCAAGGGTATGATCACGCTTCTATTTGCCCATCTTAGCACTGAAAATAAAGAATGGGGTAGATTGACATATACCGATCAATGGGAGGCGGACCTAGGGGAGGAACTGGAAGGAACTGAGTGGCAGGAGATATGGGAAGCAAACAAAAAAACTTCCATATGTGTCACGCTACAAGAGCAGGCATGGAAAACCATGCTCAGATGGTATACTACTCCTGTAAAATTACATAAAATAGACACAGACGGTTGCTGGAGGGGCTGCAGATTAAGAGGTACGTACATCCATATGTGGTGGGAGTGCCCGAAGATACACAGCTTTTGGAAGTCAGTAGAGGACTTGTTGAAACAGACATGCAACAGACCCTTGGTTATGGACCCATGGATATACCTGCTAAACAGATCAATCGAGGGATGGACAAAAAAAGAGCAGAAACTGGTACACAAGATAACTCTAAGTGCGTGCAGAGCAATAGCAATGGCTTTCACCCGGGGGTCCAGAATTTTGAGGAGTGATATCCAGGATAAGAGAATGCAGAATCATGGACGACATGATGGCAAGGGTAAAGAGTACGACAGTAGCATTCAAGAGAATTTGGGAACCATGGGACAATAGTATAGTGGGCTCAAGAGGAGACTGACAGGGATCGGAAAGTGATGAAGTTGGGGACCAGCAACAAAAGAACCTTCATGGCGAACTAGATTCGGAGGGCCCCGCTCCTCCCCCGCCTCCCCTCTCTCATCTTTTATCTTACTTCCCCTCTCTTCCCTCCCTATCTCTCTGACATTACTCCTTTTCTCTTCTCTTACTTCTTCTCATTTCATATCTCCTCATACCGCCTTTTAATTCCCCCCCCCACCCTTGGTTTACAGGCGTTTGTTTTCTTTTTTCATTTTTCTCACCCAGGCATGATTAAACCGTCGGAGAAACAAGGATGCCTAAAGATGAATCTGGCCTGTGAAAAGCTAGGGCTCCTTCTTTAATTAGATTGCCTGGAATGAAAATTAAAAACTTCGGTAGGAAGCAAGTCACAATGGGTTTAAAAAAGAGGCTTGTATTGTAAACTCAAATTGCATACTGTATCTCCAAGAATTTTCTCTCAAGTTTTGGCTTCTGTGCAAGCCCAAAAGTTAAAGTATACTTGCTGTACCTATTGAATGAAAAAAAAAAAGAATAAAAAAAAAAAAGAGTGAATTAATTTTAATGAGATGAGCATTTGCATATAACCAATGTTTTATTCCTACTACCTTAACATATTAAGAAATGTTTGGTAATGGGACTGAAATGGTGAATGTATGCTGTTGCACAGCTGTAAAAAACAAATTACGTTATCTTTTGTTTATTTTGAAGTTCTACAAGTATGTTCTTCACTTTGGCCGAGATCATCAAAATTGATGATCTCACCAATCCAATGCTTTCCAATAGGAAAGCATTGGGAGGCTATTGTGCATATGTGGCAAAAAGCTGCGCGGCCAAACAGCATCTCCATGGGGAGCGTTCAGCGCCTCCATGCAGACCCAATCTAACACACTGCCCCTCTTCCCATTCTAATACACTGCCCACAAATGCAATACATTGCCCCCCCTCCCTCCACTGTTATACACTGCCCCCTCCACCCAATCTAATACACTGCCCCTTAATCTAATACACAGCCCCTCCTCCCTCCACTCTAATTGAATAGACTGCCCCCACTCCACTTTAATACACTGCCCTCCCTATCCCTAATTTAACACACTTCCCCCCACCACTCTAATACACTGGCCCTCTCCCTCCCTCAAATAAATAAATACACTGGCCCCCTCCCTTCCTCATATAAATACACTGCCCCCCCTTCTTTCAAATACACTGCCCCCACACAATTTAATACACTGGCACCCTGACTTCCCCAAATGAATACAGTGTCCCCTCCCTCAAATTAATACACTGCCCCTTCCCTACCATTAATACACTATCCCTCCCTCCCATCCCATTAATACACTGCCACCCCTCCCCAATTTAGTACACTGTTCCTTCCCTCTCTTAAATGAATACACTGCCCCCCCCCCACTACCACCACTGGCCCCCTCCCTCCCTCAAATTAATACACTGCCCCCTCCTTCCTTCAAATACACTGACCCCCTATTCCAAGCCCCTCTTCTCCTACCTTACAATTTGCTGTCCGTCCTTCAGTACCAGCTCCAGCCCTGCTCAAGCAGGCCAAATGCTCCTTCTTGCACGGCAAGCAGGAGGGAAGTGGAGTGGCCGCTATGGTCACACTGCCCTCTTGTGGCCAGGAGAGCAAGAATCAGAAAATATTTTTCCTGTCTTGCGGCTGGTCGCACTAATCACTTCACTTCAATATTTGCTCACTTTCACCACCCTCCACCACCAATCAAACCAACCCCAGCCAGACAATGCCCTATTTCACATTCAACTGATCCATGTCTTCTCCTATGCCTATCAGTCTAGTAGTGCAGCTTATGTTTATGACCAAATAATAAAAACACACAAGTAATATTATGGCACTGAATTAATAAACAGTAATAAATATCTGTAATAAGCAGCACTATATATAGTGAAAAAGCTCAATCACGTGTAACTCTATAAAACCAATAGATAAAGTGCGCTGTGCCTTTAAGACCAAAATATTTTAATGAAAATACGTGAAAATAAATATATGTGCAATATTGTATATCAAAAGTGACCAAGTGCATTTGTGCAAAAACATACTTATAAATATATGCAAATATTTAACAAAAAAGATGTGCAGATAAAAAAAACAATACTTAGCTTTCCCACTTTGGAATATACCCCTTTAGCTTGTATCAGCATTCCAATATAAATCTCAAAAAAAGAGGGGAAATGCACAATCATAGGACAGTATGTTTGAATATCAGATATGCAAAATATGAAACAAAAACACTCACAAGGGTAGAGCAATTGAGTCTGCAAATATGAGAACTGGAAACTGTGGTGAAGGTTGAAATCTTTATTTAACACTTTCCAATAAAAAACTGCTTGTCAGGCTGATAACTCCACTTAGTCTTTGACTCCTCCGTTTGGTAAGTGATGGCTTGTTAGCTCTCCTGTTTCGGCGCCGGCTATGCAGAACACTGAGTGGCGAGAGAATCTTAATCACCACTTCCGGGAGGTGGGGCTTACGGCCGTTGAGCATGATAACGTCAGAGCGTGATGACGCGTTTGACTGTCTGCCTGTGTGTGTGTGTGTGTGTGTGACTGTCTGCCTGTGTGTGTGACTGCCTGTGTGTGGCTGTCTTCCTGTGTGTTTGACTGTCTGCCTGTGTGTGATTTTATATATTATAAAAATACACTTATAATTAAATTACACACTATATATATAATATATATAATAACTAAATATATTATATATAAATATTATTATAAAATACAAATAAGTAATTTAAATTTAATAAAAACATGTAAAAGTAATAATAAAAAAATTATATATCTATATGAAATGTTATTCTAACTGTATTTTAAAATTAATATATATATATATATATATATATATATATTTATTTATATCAAAATACACTTAGAATGAATTTGTATATATATCTATGTATATATAAATAAATAAAAATAAT